CGCATCTGAGAATAAACATAGACGGCCCTCTAACTTTCAGGTAGGTGATAGAGTCTGGGTAAAGTCATATGAACTGGGTCAGGAGATGGGGATTTCACAAAAACTGATGCCACATTACTTTGGGCCCTGGGAGATCTTAGACACTGTAGGGGATCAACCGGATGGGCCTTCATACGTGATTCACATTCCTCCACACTTGCGTACTTACCCTGTTTCCATGCATCCAAGCTGGCACCTTTCGCTGCCACAGATCAGTTTCCCTCCAGGAGATCAATGCTGCCCCCAACCATGGATGGCGAAGTGGACATAGACCAGATCGTGGAGCATCGTCTGATGCCAGTTCCTCGACCACCGGGCAGAGGCCGCCCTCCTAAGCCAAAAATGCAGTACCGGGTCAGATTCAGACATCATCTGGACCCCAGCGAAGATCGGTGGTTCACCAGAGAAGAACTCATGAGAATGCACCTCAAGTCATTGCAGGCTATGAAAGAGATCTTAAAGGGAAGATGCCTGCAGAATAGAAAACTTCTCAGAGGACTATCGAAGTACAAGAGGAGGGAATGCGAGGATATGGGTCCTCGGCAGGCCTAAGGGGCCCCCTGCGCATATGTGCCCGCCCTAAGTGAAGGCGGGCCTAACAAATCACGAGAGGCCCTTGGCTGCCAATTTCGCATTTGGGGTCCAGGCAGTTTCGTCGCGCCAGTTGATTGAAAAGAAACACAGGCCGAGCAGCGTGGAAATTCCCAGGCCTTCTAGGCCTTTCCGAAAGCACAGGCCCTGGGCGAGATTCGCAGCCTCATACACAGACAGTTGGGAGGCCCAACCGAATGAGGCCCAGTCGCTGCACCAGAGGCACAGCATCCTGGGGCCTACTGGAAGCTTCTGGGCCCAGGCCAGTCCAGCCGGGCTGCCGAATGAGGCAGGCTCTTTCCATATAGGAAAGAGCTCGTTGCCTGGCCAGCCATTCAGGCACTCACATGCTGGCGGCAGTGCTGCTGGAGCTGAAGCTCATGGGCTGCTGCTAGCGCTGAGTGGCGAGGTGCAGGCACGTGCGGTCGTGCAGGGAGCAGGGTGCTGCTGAGGGCAGCGCCATAGCCCAGCCTCCATAGCTGGCAGGGCTTGGATGTACAGTGAGGCGCAGGGGTGGTCTTCGGGTGTACAACAAAGGGAGACGTGGGAGAGAGTCAAGGGGGAGAGAGAAGGATGATGATGATGATGATGTGAGGACACATACCTGGTATTGGTGAAGGTTCTGCATGGGCGACATCTTCAATTACTTTGGGTGCTGCTGATGTCAACAGTTGCATTGTCAATTAGTAGGCTAGTAGTAGCTGTGTAGCGAGTAGGCTGGGCGCTGAGCGCCAAGTAGGGAGATAGAGACTGGATACATATTTTGGTGGTGGCGAGAGCAAGCTCTCATTGACATTGACTTTCAGTGCTACGATTCTCCATTGGTGTTATGTTGGTGCAATGCTGCTTCCTGAACACTGTGTTACGATTTGGCTTTCAATGTGATTGTGCAATCTGAATATTGTCATCTCGCTTCTGTTCATTTTCCTTGCAGTGGGAGCGATATACAGAAAGGCTGAGAAAGCCATTGTGAAATCACACAGATGTCCAAGTAGTCGTGTACAAGCAGAGAGCACAAATGCACCGAGATTCCATCCAAATAAGAGCAATACAATGAAGTAATGAGCCATTGTTCAAACCCTCAGGCCACACCAACACAGTATCCAAAGTTACTCCTCTCTGTCTGGCGCCCAGCACCCAGCCTACACTACTCGACTATCCTACCTACATCAGCATTCTCGCAACAGGCTCACTTCGACTCTCGAAGACCAATGTGCATGGCGTCAACACCATAGCCGACCTGTCTCATGTACCAGGTATGTATCTCGTCTCCCCTCATCAGACCCTGTCCACCCACACTCCCCTCCTTCCTGAAGACCACCGATCGCCCTCTTACCCCCTAGCGCCCTGCAGCCCGGCTATGGCTGCTAGCGCTCCGCTGCCCAGCAGGGCCCCTCTCACCTCTCGTGCGCCCCGCAAGCGCCCTGGCCGCAACGCAGCACGCAGCCTCCAATGCAGCAGCGCAGCAGCGTGACCGCATTGCCTGCGTGGGCCAGAATGCCAGACCCTGGCTGCCTTCCTTCCTATATGGAAGCGGCAGCCTCTGCTTCGCTGTGTCTGGCCTGGCTGGAAGCTTCCAGTAGCTTCCGGTTGGGCCCCAGTGCCTGCGCCCAGGCCCAGTGCTACAGTTGAGGGCCTGGGCCCTTTACAGTTGGGCACGGCCTGAGTCTCCAGACTTGGGCCGTTTGCTGCATTTGCACAGGACCTGGTGTATGTACATCCGACAGTGCTGCTTTGGTGTAGGCCTGTGGCCACTTAGTGATGTATCGGCCCTGCATTGTGTGTATGTGCCCAGGCGCGACTGCGAACGCCTGGGCCAAACTGTACGACGCAGCTTATGGAGGTTCACGCGTCCACTCAACCAACTGGCGGGCTGCAACAGCCTGAGTACCCACATATGCAAAATGTCGAATTTTGCTGAGTGAGGATGCCGCCTGGCCGGTTGGGCCCGGGGTGGCTGCCCGGGTGAACCGGGCGGGCCAAAAAAACGCCCAGAATTTTTTATTCTTTTTTTTGAAACCAGGGTCGTTCTGCGCTCGGCGAGAGGACCCCGAATCTGCAATAAAATTTTGGTTTTGGGGGGTGGGTGGGGGGGTTGGTATGGCTGGGGGCTGCTGGGGTTGGGGGGGTGTCTGGGGGTTGGGGGCTCTGCATGTATGTTGCCTGCTGTATGCTGAATGTATGTCATCTAATATGTACTGGGTTGGGGGCTCTGCATGTTTGTTGCCTTCTGCTCGGATGTCCGCTGCAAGCATGTTATCGACCCTTTCATTCTGAAGAACAACAAGACTGACAAGAAATGAACAAGACTGACGAGAAGAAGCAGAAGAAGACTGACGAGAAGACGACGAAGAAGAAGACTGATAAGATGGAGAAGAAGAAGAAGAAGACTTACAGACTGACAACTTGCAGGAAATCTATAAGTTCTTCTGCAGCATATCAGCTGCATATGGCCAATAGCGATCCACATTCGAACACATCTCTCTCTCTCTCTCTCTCTCTCTCTCTCTCTCTCTCTCTCTCTCTCTCTCTCTCTCTCTCTCTCTCACACACACACACACAC